GGTCGGAGGTGTAGAACTCCTTTGTGTTGGCATGAGTCGGGTGAAAGTGTGGTGCTTGGACCAGAATTGGTTAGAGAGACTACTGAGACGGTGAAGATGATTAGAGAAAAGATGAGAATTTCTCAAAGTCGACAAAAGAGTTATCATGATAAAAGGAGAAAAGACTTGGAATTTCAAGATGGTGATCATGTATTTTTGCGAGTTACTCCTACAACCGACGTTGGGCGAGCATTGAAGTCGAAGAAGCTAACTCCTCGCTTTATTGGTCCTTACCAAATTACTAGTAAAGTGGGAAAAGTGGCTTATAGAGTGGCGTTACCGCCAAATCTTTCGAACTTGCATGATGTGTTCCATGTGTCGCAACTTCGGAAGTATGTTTCGGATCCTTCACATGTGATTGAGATGGATGATATTCAAGTTCGAGACAATCTTACGGTGGAGACGATACCACTAAGGATCGAAGATCGTGAGATGAAGTCTCTTCGTGGCAAAGAGATCTCCTTGGTTAAAGTTGTTTGGATAGGAGCAGCTGGTGAAAGTGCGACGTGAGAGTTAGAAAGCAAGATGCGGGATTCCTATCCCGAGCTTTTCGAGTCAGGTAATTTCGAGGACGAAACTTTTATAAGTGGGGGAGAGTTGTAACGCCCCGTTTTATTTAATATTATACTATATTAATATTTTCGAGTTACCGGTTGACATTTATTTTTGCGACGAGAATATTTATATTAACCGTTATATCTGTTAATATATTCGGCGATGTTTTATTCGAACCGGTAATTATTTTATTTGGTCCGGTATTTATTTTGAGGGACCGGTAATTATTTTATTCGGTCCGGTATTTATTTTGAGGGACCGATAATTATTTTATTTGGTCCGGTATTTATTTTGAGGGACCGGTAATTATTTTATTCGGTCTGGTATTTGTTTTGAGGGACCGGTAATTATTTTATTCAGTCCGGTATTTATTTTGAGGGACCAGTAATTGTTTTGTTCGGTCCGGTTTTTATTCTGTTCGGTTCGGTAAAATATTATTCGGACCGATATTTAATTATTCGGAGTTATTTTAATTATTTGGGTTAATAATATTATTTAATGTTAATTAGTAGTATATTTGATGAGGGGCTTTTTAGTAACTTTGCCTAGCTTTTGTCTTGAATCAAAACCAACCAAACACCTTGTTTTATGTCATAACATTAAAACACATAGAGAGAGCAGGAGAAAGAGGTCTTAGAAGAGAAGAGGAAACAAGAACACAAGAGCAAGTTTGGGTTTTGGGTTGGTTGAAACATCAAGAATCATTCAAACATCTAAGGTAAGAGGTTTGATTTTCCAATGCTTATAGTTAGAGTTTGATTGGATATATTTTGATTTGGGATAAAATTGATGTTTGGATTCTTGGGATTTGTTGAGATAAATTAGGAGAGTTAATTTAAGTGTTAGTGTTGTGGGATTATTGTTATATTAATAGAAATTAAATTAGAAAAACTAAATTATATTAATTAAGTTTAATTTTATAAATAAAAAAAAATAGCAGTAAGTAGTTTAGAACAAAGCTAAAGACTAGCAGGATAATATTATATGAAGTTAGAAATTAAATATTAGTAATATGTAGTAAGGAAAACATCATGAAGTTAGAAATTAAATATTAGTAATATGTAGTAAGGAAAACATCAAATGTTAGTAGTATATAAGACTAATTTATGTAGTATAGGAAAATAAGTACCAGCAGCATGTATAAATTGGCATTATGTTTAGAAATTAAGGAAAACAAAAACTAGCAATACATCTTGATAAAGTTTATAACTATGCTATCAATTAACTTACAGTATGGAAAATTAAGTTTAGAAAATTATTTAATTTATGTTTTGTTTTTCTTTTCTTATTTTAATATATTAAATATTTATATTAATTAAATATAAATATGATATAAGTTAGCCGATTTAATTTGGAACCCGATTATGTTCCGATTTTTTGATTTCGGCAATTTCGGCGACGGAGTAAGTTATTCAGAATTTAACGAAAATTGACGTGCTAGCTAATTTTGACGTGTAGAACGTCGTGGTGAGATTAGTTTTTTGAGATTACGAGTTTTTAATGGAGCGACCCGAAATAAGCCAATTTACGGTTAATTTGAAATGGGTTGCGTTTTAGTCGGTTTAAGTCGCGTATGGACAATCCGATTGCGACGTTAATGATTATGATTGATGCCGATTATTATGAATGACTTTTGCGACGATTATTGATGTTTGACTATTTTTCCGTGTTTGAAATTTAGTGAATTATTTGATAATGATGTGGTGTGATTAAATATGATGTTTGCGACGGTTTATTTATAATGAATACTTGATGATATGCGATGCGATGATATGTTTATCTTGATGTGGATGAATATGGCGGCGTGGGTTTATACCAATTTTGATGTGCGATGATGATGTTTTGTTGTGTCGTGTTTGTGATGTCGTGTTGTCGAATCACATACATTGCATTGGCGACGAGGGCTTTTATGCCAAGCGACGAGGGCTTTTATGCCAAAGCGACGATGAGATTTTATGCCGAATGTCCCTAATTATGGACAAAGCGACGGGTACCACATGCATAACATAGTCGTGTCTCATGAAGTCAGTTATGTTTATGTTTGAGTCTTTTGGCGTTGAGTTTTATTTGATGGCTGATGACGAATTGCGATGTTATGTGATACTTTGTTTGTGATGATTTTTGTGTTGAACATAAAGTGAATATATGTGATGATCTCATGATGAGTAAGCGATGAATACAACATGACGGTAAAGCGACGATATGAGTTATGGCGATGGAGTTTATATTTTGTTTTGATATGATTATGGTGATTATGTGATGAAATTAAAATGTTGATTTTATACACTAAATGATGATTTTAAAGTATGTGAGATTTTGATATTTGTTGACATATTCTTATTAATCCTATATCATTTATGATTCCAAAATTATTTATATATTTTATCATGCCATTTAATTATATATTTTGGAGTATCTCACCCTTTACTTGTTTCGCCGTTGCCTTTATATTGGTAACGTGCAGGTGATCCGCGAGGATGATGAGGATTAGCTCGAGTCTCTTTATTTTGAGTCGCTCTGCTCTGATAGTAGTAACACTCGGAATTTAGACGACGTTATTATTTTGATAGGATAGTTTATGTATACTATCTTATGATGTTATAACTTTATGTAATTATGATAACATGATGATACATACATTTTGTGAACATATTCGCTGTGCTGTGATTGGTCATATGTTTATATGATGATTTATGTTATGAATCGGTATATCCGACTTTTGATTTTGTGATGGGCATTATAATGCAAAGTGATGAAAAACACAAATATGTGATACCTCAATTTATGTTTGGATGAAATTTTGAAACTCTGATTTTATTATTAATTACGAGGGGTAGAATTGGGGTGTTACAAGAGGCGCTTGTTTCTGTTTATGTTTCTATGGCACTATGCTTGTCTTATTTTGTTGTTTATTTATTGAACCTTGTGTTGTTATTTGAGGAGCTATCATATTGATGTTGTTTCATGATTCAAAAGATGCTATGTCTTATATGGAGAACTATTATGAATCCGCTGCGTGATTAATCCAAGTTTGGTTTATGTTGTGAAGACTATATTCATGAGTTATGTTCATTCCGCTTCTTTAAGTGTTATGTATCTATTCTAAAAGCATGATAGGTTTATGTGTCTCTGTTGAATGTGTGGCATCTTGATTATATTGGAAATTTTTATACTCTGATTTTTCGCAAATTGCTTGTAAAATTGGGGTGTTACAGTTTCGTTGTTTGCAAAAAGACGTGAAATATGGAACGCAGTGTTACAATCGGAACAACTATGGAGTGAAAGCTGCATGAAATTTATTAAGGTAAAAAGTGCCAAAGCCAACACCCATCTTGTTACAAGGTTTGACAGACATATCCACAATGAACATATCCACAACTTCATCGCCAAAGACAAGATTATAGGGTTATACTACCATCTCGTTGGTCCTATTGTGGAAAGTTTCAAGTCTTTCTTATGTCTTGCTCTCATATCATTGCGGTATGTACGTATGCTCATCAAGATGCATTACTACTTCTATCTCCCATTTACAAGGTCGAGACCTTGCTCAACGTATAGAACAATGGCTTTTCAGTGGTAGCAAAACCGAATTATTGGCTTAGGTACGAAGGAGAAATAGTTTGGCACAACAATCAAATGTGAATGAATAAAAAGGATCGTCCTCAAATCAAGTGTATCACAACTAAAATGTATTCCCTTGACAAACTAGAAAGAAAGTGTAGTTTATGCCGTCAGGTCAGACACAATCGAAAAAATTATCCTACTCGTGCTACTAGCTCGACAAGATAAATATTATATACAAACTATATGTACCTTTTTAAGATCTAAACGAAACTATATATATATATATATATATATATATATATATATATATATATATATATATATATATATATTCCAGTAGCAATATCATTCAGTATTTAATAGTGGTACACATTCAATAGCAATAGCAAGGCAGTGCATAGTAGCAGTTAAGTATGCAGTACAATGGTACTCATTCAATCTTCAATAGCAATAGCAGTATATATTCTAGTAGCAGTTCAGTATGCAATTAACTCATTCAATATATATTCCAGTAGCAGTTTAGTATGCAATTAAAATCATTAAGTGTATCATTAAATCAATTTCAGTATATATGTCGATAGCAGTTCAATGTAACATTAAACCAATTTCAGTATATATTTCAGTAGCAGTTCAGTGTATCATTAAACCAAGTAAACTCACTTATTGCATAAAAAACATACCTATAATATTGTGACACAAAAGGAAATAGTCCAACCTTGTTGTGTAAAATACAAACAATAACATGGACACATGGAAATAGATCCTGATCAAAACTGTCCTCCACAAAGTAAAAAAATATCTATAGAAAATTATACTAAACTATTTAAGCAAAGCAAAACAAAATGTTTCAAATGAGTTCATTCACACCTTATCAGCAACCAAACCATTACCATAAATATAAGCACATACTTTTCTTTTCTATTAGTGAATTATTATTTGATCTTCTTCCCAGCAAATCCAATCTGGTTCAATACCCAAAGTGCAGTTTCAGCAACTCGCAGGTCATAAAACTCAATAAAATTGAGATGCTTCATTTCTTGATATTCATAGATATGCAATTAGGAACATAACATTTAAGTAATATTGAATAATCTTCATAAAATATTTGATTTGAATTGATCAAACTGCTTTTAAAACATATGACTAACGGACGATCAAAAAATATTTGATCTGAATTGATCAAAATTCTTCAACCTAAAAAATATAACAAAAACAGTTTCAATTTATGATAAACAAACAAAGTGAAATTAAAAATAAAATAAAGGAATAAAATCAAAGCATGAATTAAATTTAAAACCAAACCTCTTCAACATAAGCAATAGGAAAAGTCGATACTCCAAGATCTCCTCCACTCATCTGCAACAAAAGTAACACATTGTACAATCAAATCAACCCTTGTTCATTTATGTAAAAATTCAAATGACAATAATAACAACGATGGTGACGATTAAAGTAAGAGAGACATACCATGAGAACCATTAACCCCTTATGTAATCTGCAATTACATGAAAAAAGAATGAACAAATAAAACCGTCAAATCAAAAACTATACATATGAAAACCCTAACAAAAACTTAAAATTAAAAAAAGTAACAATAAACACACTATTGTACTTCTATCATTACTAAACAAATAACCTTTCATACATTCGAAAGAACTACTTCCCAGATGAAGATGAATTGGTACATAGTTGTCAATTGTGGATTGCAGAATATCGTGAAAATCTATAATTTTATAAATCATAAAATAAGTCAAAAAGTTCACATTGCAGTCGTTGTATTAATAATATAACAAACATTGGATAGAAGAAAATAAACTTTTCGAAGCATCAGAGGAAAATATAAATGAGACAGGTTATTCAAAACCTGTTCAATATGTTTGGACTCTTTCTGATAGTCTTCTTCTGTGTACTCTAATATTTCAACATAGGAGCACCATTATTAGATTGTAAAAATGATAATAACCTAAAAATATTATGAATCTCATTTTTAAATGAATATTAGTTGAGTTCAATCAAGTTTGGTTTTTGACGGGTTCAAAATAATCATCCGAGCCTGACCAAAATAATCCTATACTATCCAAATCAAACAACTTGATCAATCTAATACCAGATCCATTTGCACAAAAAAGACAATGGGTCGGTTGGTTTAAGTAGGGCCCAATTATTTAATGCGGTTCAATTTTGTACACCCCTAATGGAAGATTTATATAAACCTGAGACAAAATCTCAACTCACACACCTTCGTCAAAATCCGCAACCCATCGGATCCGCGCAGAACCTCAGACGCAGCTCACAACACACAACAATAGAAAAAGGCATAGAGTAGAAGCAAATCGGAAGCAGTAAAAGAGGAGGAGAGGATTTCAAATCGCAAACAGAGCAAAAAGATTCGAAGGATTTACTTGGAGATAGATCACCGTCGAAGAAGATGTAGTGCACTATCGTTGCTATTTCTTTTTTTCATTTACGTTCTGTTTTGATTTTCGTCTTCCTTCTGTAATATGTAAATTACCATCGAAATCGTTAATGAGAATGGGGTTTGGAATGATGGGGATAAGGGTTTTTTTATTTGCTTTAACTATTGTTTGTGTTTTCGTTGAGAAAGTGGGAGAATTGGGGAGATGGAGAAATCGAAGTATTGAACGATGGTGAAAGAGAGAAGCAGAGAGTGAAAAGCGGTAATGAGAAAGAAGTAAAGAGGTTGAGAACCGTGAAAAGCAGAGAGAAAATTCACGTGAGAATTAAGATGAGAGAGGATGGGAGTTTTGTCTCGATTAATTAAAGAGTCGACGAAAATGAGATACACGGATAAATTTATTCATATTTTAGATCATTTGATAATGCAATTGTTGATATGATCTATATTTCCTATTAAATAAATGTAATTGTTGATTAAACTAGAAAATATATTATGGTGATAGTGATCCGTAAAATAAAATATTTTATTATTGTATTTATGTATTAATTCTTCTCCGTCTATATTATCCATCAACCATCAATAAATTTTTTTAGAAGATATAATGCATTAACATAAAATTTATATACTCTGCTCTATGTATGAATATTGAGAACTAAATAATTGACGTGAACAAACTCTAAGCAACTGATTTAAAATTAATCTTAAAGTTTTCAAAATTTTAATATTACATACTCGAGTATACAAACTTTTATAATTGAATCAAGAATTCAAGAAACACTAGGGCGTATAATCCACATACTAACCAAACTATATCATTCAACATAGAAATACAATAATTTTCAATATTAAATTTATGAGCACACAAGATAGAAACATACAACAATACTAAACATTTTTTTAAGGATTAATGAAGCCAAAATAGTATTATGATAATACTTCACTTCATATTTATACACATACAAACTATAGGGACACATGTAAGTCTCTATAACCAATTATGATCAAATGAAAATCATAGAAGCCAAATGGTTACACTTGCATAAACTAAGTACAAAATTTTCACTCTATGTTTATGTCTATGTAATAATAAAGAGAACAAATGTCCATATAGGATAGACCAACAGAAGAATTACACCAACTCTATTTGATATGCCGTGAGCTTTTGTTAATGAATCTCTAAAACCACTAAAATTGATATGTCATGAGCTTTTGTTAATGAATCTTTAAAACAAGAAGCTCGAGTATGTTCTTGCAGCAAATAAGAAGTTGAATTCTCCAATATCTACTAACCTGAAAAGTTGAAGAAGCGGTATCCATGAGGAAAATCTATTGTGCTAATCTCCAAATAAGTATCCTCGCTCAAAACCTTCATTTGAGAAAACAGAGAAGGCGTACAGAGTTTGTTGCCCTTAATATTCCTAGATCATTCAAATAAACTTATTCATAAAAAGCATGGAAAAATTAAAATCAATGCATGTATGTATTATAGGTTTGGTATATATGCCAATAAAAAATAACTTCCAGTTAAAATCTCGTCTTAAGCATTTTGAAGGGTTTGACTCAGATAATTCATAGATTCATTAAGTTATCTTAGTTAACATAATTCAAGAATTTAAGTGAATTTCAAAAATACGATTTGGAGAAATTTAACACATAAATATAACAACTACGAAATTTAACCTGCTTTGCATCTTCATGTTCTTGCTTAAGTGTTGACAACTGCAGAATAAAACCAACAATTATGATTAGGAAAATTAATGTTAATTGACAAAAGAAGGAAGATTGAAAATATCCATCAATAGGTGAGTTTTTGTAATCTCATGTTAAAAAAATCTACTATATTTACAACCTAATGAGGAGATACCAAAAAAAGATATATTAGCTGGATGGTTACCAAAATAAATGCTCTAGAAAAAACCAAAATTAATGGTATTTATCTCCAAAAGTGAGCAGAGTATATAAATTTTATGTTAATGCATTATATCTTTCAAAAAAAATTGTTGATGGTTGATGGATAATATAGACAGAGAATTAATATATAAATGCAATAATAAAATATTTTATTTCACGGGTCACTATCACCATAATATATTTTCTAGTTTAATCAACAATTGTATTTATTTAATAAAAAATATAGATCATATTAACAATTACATTATCAAATGATCTAAGATATAAATAAATTTATCCGTGCATCTCATTTTCGTTGATGGAAAAACTATAAGTTATTTCATCTTAACATTAGACATATCCACTCTTTATAATTGAAAGGTTGCTTCTTTTAAGTAGTAAACATTGAGGCAATTGGGTGCACAAGCTTGGAGGATTTTATCACCATTCTAATACTCTAAATATTCAACTAGTGAGAGAAGCTTTCTTTTTTGAATGAACAAGTATATGTATTTTCATATCTTTCTGGTATGTTCAAGTGATTCTATATCATTTTTAATTTTTCTCACTTTTATCACCTCTTAGACCTTTAGTGAACATTTTCATTTTTTTTTATTTTCTTTTATGCAATGTTGGGCCATGTTATACTAGATTGTTGAATGCTATGTTGAGTCATATTTTGCTAGGTTGTTGGGCTTTGTCTAATTTTTTGCAACATTGGACCCTAATTTGATATTATGTTATTGATTTGTGTTTAAGCTTTTTCATGGATCATAAAATTAAATTCTAACCTTCTTATCGTATTACTAAATTCTAATTAATCCTAATATAATATTATTTTCAAATTGGTTAATTTACATTTTGATTATGCAAACTGCTCATAGTTTCTTTTATTCATATTATTCATATCGATTAAAAAATACTACATCAGGAAAAATTCACATGTGCGGGAGCGCAAGTCTCTGACTAATATATATATATATATATATATATATATATATATATATATATATATATATATATATATATATATATATATATATATATATATATATATATATATATATATATATATATATATATATATATATATATATATATATATATATATATATATATATATATATATATATATATATATATATATATATAGTGCGTGCGTGCGTGCGCGTGCGTGCGTGCGTGCGTGTGCGTGTGTGTGTGTATTCTGGACTGGCTCAATGGTCATGCTTGGCCTAATCCGCTTCTATATCCATTATGGCCCAACGACTCTGGACCAATAACTCTAGCTCAGTCAGCTGGGACCGACAAGGGGCACCTTGCCATCTGCCCTTCAGTCGGGAAAGTTTGGTCGGTTGTATCCCAGGAACATCAAGACCAACAATACTCTGGACCATGCACCTTCCCGTGTCACCAGCTATTTGTTGTTCTGCTCGACACATGTTGAGAAGACAACCATGAATGCCTTTGACGAGATTACCCGTAGTCTCACCTTTGCTCGGAGAAACAACTAGTTATGAGCATGACTTCTCGTTACAACGACTAGTTTCTGGTAGTTACCTATTTTTACGGACCTGATATCTAGGCCCAAAATAGGGTCCAATGGCCAAGCGTTGTGGGCACTATATAAACCCTCACACTTGTTAGGGGCATGTATTCAATATTCATTACTCACTTTTAAAATCATAGACTTTTTGTCTTGTATCTCTTCGTACTCTTTCTTAATTGAGCATCAGAGTGTCTTGTAGGTACACCCCCTCC